CACGGACGCGTTCCCCCACGCGATGATCGTTCCACACGTAATCGCCGTCTCGAAAACTTTCCACAAACTCCAACAGGCTCCGTTGTCGCACGCGGTCTTGCAGGTACGCAAAAGCATAATGGCCACAGGCCCGACTGTCGTAGGCTTGCAACGTCTTGTCGCTACGCACCACGTACTTCCAATGCCGCGCGATCCATTCGTGAAATCCCGGCGCTTCGTAGACGGTTAACGGCAACCCGTAACTGTCCATCGCTTCGCACACCCCCTCTTCGGTCCACAGGGCCAACCAATGCCGGCCCGGTTCGCCGGCCGGGTCCGTGTTGACGATGTAAGCGCCTCGGGTGGTCTTGGGAGGATGCTCGGGCAATCGATCGGAGGGATAGACGCCTTGGAACACGCGCTTCAACTCGGGGTCGGAGAGCGCCAAGGCTCTCAATTGACGATCACTCAACGCCACCAGCTCCATGGTTCAACTAAGCCCTGGTTCCCTTTACACGGTGGTATCATACGTCACGGCACCCAGGTGATCGATGTAGATGACGCTTTCATATTCCGCCCACACCAAGATGGTGATGTTGGCGTTCAGGGCCGCTCTGAACTTGATCTCCAGACGCACGTTACCGGTCTGCTTGGGATTGAGTTTGGGTCCATCCGCATCCCCGCTTGGCACGTTGTTGCACATGAACAGGGTACAATTCTTGTCTTGCCCCCACTCGTCCGGTTTGACCATGAACTCGCGATGTTTGGGCACGGCCCCGGCGGCTTCCATGAACCGATAATACCCCAGTCGATCTTTGCGGTCATTGGCCCCGTTCAGTTCCAGGGCGACGTACGGGTACTCTTCCCCCTCGATAAACTGACGCACGGACGTCACCCCTTTCTTCTGGAAGGCAAACGGGTACTTTTCTTTGTTCCCATTGAAGGCCGTGCTGTCCAAGATCCCCACGATCATGCGCTGGGAGACTTTGCCCAAGAACAAGTTATCTTGCTGCCACACGGTGGTGGTCCCGTTGAACGTGAACGAGCGAATCTGATCCCTCACCACCGGGTACTTGACCACCTGCTTTCGGATCTTACGCTGAGTTTCTAGGGACCCGTAGACATCCGGGTTAAGGTTCAGTCGGCACAAGTGCAAGGTGATGTCCACATCTTGCTCTCGCAACGTCACGTACCGCTTGACGCCGGTGCCACTGGTTAGGGTGCTAAAGGTATAGAAATCGGGACTGTTGAAGTGCAATTCGAAATTCATTTCCACCCCGGGCACCATGATCTTGCCCGTGTGGAAGGCGGGCAGGTACGGTCGCATGACCAAACGGACCACGTTGTTGCCTCGGAACGGGGTGGTCAGGGTCTTGAGCAGGTTGGTGTCCCCGTGGGCCCAGTTCGCCGTGGTACTGATGTCGTCGTTGACGCCCGCGGCCGCCAACGACGCCGTGACGTTCAAGAAATTGACCCAACCTTGGGGGACCAACAACGTTTCTCCCTCGTCGCGGCTGTAGTTGAGCAGCGTCTGGAAATAGGCCGAGTAGGCGTAGGTGTCGGTCTGTTCGGTCATCAGGGTGCCATTGAACCGCAAGTTGATCTGCTTGAAGATGGTATGGGCCAAGTTGTTGACGGCGTACACGAACTTGGTGTCGTTGGCATCCGACGCCGAATTGGCATCGGCCACGATGCCGTTCTGGGCCGACGAGTACAACCGCAGGTCAATGACGAAATAACTGCGATTCAAATCCACATAATCTTCCAAGGCCTGCACCGAGAACTTCATGGGTGTGATGCTGGTACTCAATTTGTGGTAGGGTACCATCTTGTACCCCTGCAGATCGTAGTCGGTCGGAGGGACCGAGAAAATGTTCAAACTACTCATGATGATGAAGAGGAGGAGTGCGTCTCCTCATCGGCGTCGTCGTCGTTTTATACGCATCCTGGCCGCCACCCATTTGGGCAGGCCGAAGCCTGGCGGCTTGGGGATGTGAGGATTGAACCATCCGCCGCGTTGGGCGCGACCTCGACGTTGCCTGGCCAACAACCATTTCGTCAAGTCGTAGCCTGGCGGCTTGGGGACGTGAGGACTGATCCATCCTCCTCGTTGTCGCCCAAAAGGCGAGGGCACGCTCCGTTGATAGCGTGGCCGGGATTGGACCACCAACTTTCGTGGAGGAACCATCTCATACACCCAGCACGTCGCGAATGCGTCCCACCGTGTTTCGATATCCTTTCTTGGCAGCCGATGTCATCGACCTCTTGGCGACCGTCCCGGCAATGGGAACGGCCTTGCGTTTCACGCCTCTTTTTAACTTTTCCCCGGCGGCCCGTGCCACCCCGCGCCACGACTGCCCTCGAGCGCCCGCCCGCGCCCCGGCTTCCACGGCCCTGGCCAGAATGGGTCCCGCCAAACGATACAGATCCTCTCGAAGTCCTCGACCATCCTGCGGCGGCAGGGGTGGTGGACGATACCGCGTCAGACTGCCTCCCCACATGATGTGACACGTTCCTTGGGGCACGCGCCTTTTTTATACGTCTCGTTTGAAGACGAGGGTGATCAGGGTACGCCCCGCGCCGAACTTGACCAACCCTCCGTGACTCTCGGCCACTTCCACCTCCACCACGTCCATGTACTCGCGCCGACACGGTAACCACTGAATGTGTAAGGGTTCATAGTACGCCACGCCCTGGCCTTGGCGCCGGTACTCCACTTCGCGCACCATGGCATGCTGTTGGCCGCCGACGATATTGCTGTCCACCAAGTCCGAGTAGACCAGAAAGGTGCGCGAGGGTTCCCCCACCACCTCTCGGAAGGCCACGTTCAAGTTGACGAAGCGCCAATTGATGCACAGACTCAACTGTAAATGGTCGCTTTCTATTTTCCAAAGGTCGTGCCTGTCCAATTCCGTGTTCTTGACGTCTTTGTAATAATTCCCCGCCTGCTGCGTCTTGTAAAGGAGTTCGTAACGGAGATTGGGGCCCAAGGCGTACTTGTACTTCCCCGTCTCCACCAGCCACCCCATCAGCTTGGCCATGCTCACGTGCACATGCCATTGCACGAACGCCATGCCAGTCGTCAAGCTGATGTCGTCCAACTCCTTGGCCAGGATGCGCAGGTCCTCGCCGTCCCATTCGTACGTGACCCGAAACTTGTCGTAGAGCCGTTTACTCTTCGATTGGGCTTCTTTCATCTCGTAGAACTGCGATTTGCCTATGAGGGCTTTCATCAGACTCACCCCATCCACCACGCTGGGATCGTTGGTCAGATCCTTCATCAGGATGGTGGTTTGATGGTGGACCGGGATGGCGTCGGGCCTCAAATTGTTCACCAACTTGACACCCACCATGACCACGCGAGGGTTGACGGCCGTCGTGAGTCTCGCCAAGTCCAAGGCCGCGTCGGGGGTGGAGATGGCCGCCAGCCCCACCTTCCATCCTTCCCCTTTCAATTCCAAAGGCACGGGCAGGCGTACCTTGAACGAACTGGTGGTGTTCTTGGGAAACTCTTTGGTCGGATCGCTGACCAACACGATCCGATTCATGCCTGGAAATGCAACGTCACTTGCGTCTCTCCCGCTGGGTTCAAGGTCAACAACTCGCCGTTCGTCTCGGCCACTTCCACTTCCACAATCTCCACCGTGTCTCCGCGCACCCGGTGATACTGCACGTGTTCCGGTTCCCAGCCGATGGGCTCGTCTTTATAGGGCAGGTCTCGCAAGAAATTGGTGATCTGCGTCCCCACGATACTGCTCTCCCCCACATTGCAGTACAGATGCACCGAACGCGTGGGTGGGTCCCCGTGCGTCGCGGGCGTCACCGTGGTCTTCTTCTGTTTGTCTTGACTCCCGGTATGCGCGGGCTGGGTGGTCGTTTGGCTGGTGCTGCTGGATGGAGGTGGTGGGGTGCCTCGCCGAATGACCGGATGATTGTCGTACACGTCGTCGACTTGACTGATGGGTTGCCACGGCGCCGCAGTGTTGTACCCGTAGACCACCACGTAACATTGATCCGTCAACGTGGCCGGGTACGTGCTGGGCACGCCGTCCATGGCCACCTTGAGGTACAACCGCGACGTATCGTCCGACTGCTGCGTCAGCCGGAAATCTTGCACGAGGCGATGGTAATACACCATGTGCGTGCCCAGTTATTCATGCACGTGCGTCGTCACGGCCGAGTCGATGTTCTGCACGTAGAAACTAGTCCAGGCAGTCACGCTCGTCTTGTCAAACAAGACCTTGTCGGTCGTGTAGATCTCGACGATGATTCTATACGTGCCGGCCTTGCTCAGCTTGGTGGTGCCGATGACCCAACCAAACTTGGGTTCGTACTTGTTGCCGCTTTTCGTCAACGTCATGCCCACGGTCTTCTTCTTCCAATAATGCGGGGAGCCTTCCAGATTGACAAACCCCAAGGAACTAATCCTCCCATCCTTGATCCACACGCTCTCGTCGTCCATGATCCATCGGAAACGATTCCACAGGACCTTGGGAGGGACGTACACGTGCGTGGTGGCCTGGGCATAGGCCTCGTCCAAATTCACAAACTGCCAATCCATCACCATGGACATATACGCCATGTTTCGGTTCACGTGCACGTAATCCGTAAACGTGAACAGTTGGTTCTTATCCCCGTCGGCCCCGATCTTGGCGGCCTTGGGTCGCTTCAGATGCGGGTACATCAACAAATTGGGACCCAGCTCGTACGATTGGTCTTCCTTTTTCTTAATCCATCCCATCGTTTCAGCCAACACCAGATTGAACCCCAAGTAAGGGCGCGGTTTGTTGAAGGCAATGTTGATTTTATCATTCAGGATCCACAACGTAGACACCCCCGCCTCGTCCTTCCATTCGAACCGAGGCGTATAATCCACCTTGGTGGTACCAAAGATATACCCGGTAAAGAGTTTCTTCAACCTATCTTGTTGCAACCAACGGACCACTTTTTTCATAAACGTCACCCCCGTGGTGGCTTCGGGCATGTCGGCGTCCTCCATGGTCGAGGTGATCTCTTGTGTCCTGGTCACATCGTCACCCTTCATGGCTCGGGAATACATGCGCACCAATCGTTGGTTGGTCGATCCCTTGTACAAATTCGATTGTCGATGTTCCGTCAGAGGGGCGGTCGGATGCGACGTCACGGGATGCGACGACACCGCGTGCGAGACCACATTCGGTGGCCCGGGTAAGTAGACGCCGGCCACGCCCACCTGCCAGTTCTTGACGCGCAACGGGTACGGCAGACGCACCTTGAACGAAGCCGGCGTATTGTGGGGAAATTCCGGTTTGCTGGTGTTACTCAGCAACGTGACGTACAACGAACGACTCGACGGTTCCATCGCTCTCTTTCCTCTCGGGTCGAGACTGACCCGTTTTTATAGGAACGTATTCAATTTACGCTTGGACCCTGGCACCCGACCCACGGTACTATGCAAACTGGACCGTTTGGGCCAGACCTTCAACGCGTGATCGGCCTGGGGGAACGCTTGCACCAACCGACGTAGCGTCGTGTACAACGTGACGCTCTTGCCGCGCTTGACCATGCCTCGCAACTTGGCCCGGAACGCGCGCTGGGCCTTCTTGGAGGGACGCTTCTTCTTGGCAGGGCGCTTCTTCTTCCGGACCTTCTTGACCTTCTTCCTCTTCCCCTTCTTGGGTCCATACTTGGCTTCCAATCGTTCCATCATATCCATCCAGGTCTTTTGGCTAGGTAGCGGGGCACTCTGCATACGGCCAAACGGCGCCGCCAACGGCCCCGCCAACGGGGAGGGCATCAAGGCCACTCGACGACTCATAACGAGGCCAAACTACGCTTGGGAATCCAACTGTCGTACTTTTGCGGCCAGCCTTTCCAACGCACCTTGACCTCTTGGCGTCGACGCTGCAATACTTTCTCCACGCGAAACAGCGCGTCGTCCGGCACGTCGACTTAATGCACGTCTTGTTCGTAGAAGGTGCCTTTGACGGGCGTACCGTCCCATTCCTTGATTTTATAGGTGGCCACGGGTCCCGGCACGGCCCGGTCGATGAGAAACACCTCTTCGGTCTAGCCGGGCAGATACCCTTTCTCGGACGGAGAACGGACGGTGCTGTTTCTGCAAACGCACGCGATCCCCCGCTTTCCATTTGGGGCGCACGCGACGCGCCAGACGTTTGCCGTACAAACGTTGCCACACCTGGCGTTGGTTGGACCACGTCACGAGGGGCCATGCCGATACTGCGGTGTTTGGTCACATTGTAGCCCTGCACCAAGGCGGGTAACGCGTCCACGTACCGGTACGTATTGCGGGCGGTAAAGTAACGGTACATGCGTTCCTTCAACGTCCGATTGAATCGTTCCACCACCGACGACTTGGTATCGCCGTACGTCGAGAAATGATGAATCTTCCGACGCGTCATCAAGGCCTGAAACGTCCGGTTGTAAAACCCTTTGCCGGCATCCGTCTGCAATCGCACGGGTTGGCGTCCTCGGGCCCGTTTCAGGATGCGTTCGAACGCCGCCGCCACCGCCACGCCCGTCTTGGCCTTCAACGGTTCCACCCACGCGACCTTGGACAACACATCCACCACCGTCAACAAGTAGCGCATTCCCCGATTCCATGTCTTCAACGGTTGCATCTCCACTAGGTCGGCCACCCATTGGTCGTCCATCCCATGCACCACCACCGGCAGGGTAGGGAAACGTCGTCGTCGCGGTTTGTGCAAGGTGTAACTCAACAACCCTTGCAACTTGGCACGGGCGCGGGACGCCGGCACGCCGTGCGCTTGTGCCAAACGCGCCACACCCCCCAGACTCCCGCGCAACGAGGGCGTTTCATAGGCGTCCGCCCAACTCACGCGGCGCTTCTTCTTCTTCATGTCGCACGCACGCGCTGCAATAACGACAAGACACAAGACTCTCTTTCTTATTTTTTATTGGTTTACACTATCACGGCGTGGCTGCCACCAAGGGCGTTCGGGGTCCAGTCGTGACTGGCGGATCTGGTTCAACCGGTCCATCTCGTCGTCGGTAAAGACACTGCCGCGCCACACTTTGGGTTTCCCCTCCAACCAATGCTCGCGCAACTCTCTCAGCACCCGTGGACTCTCGGGATGATGCCCGTCTTCCCCCTCGTACCGGGCGTAGGCCAACAGCAACACTTGACGACGGGCGTCCGGCGTGCTGGCCCCTTGATACTCCTCCCAGGCGCCGTGCATCCACGGGCGATACCTCAAACCTTCGAAAATGGTCGGGGAATTCAAGGTGTTGTACCCATTGTCGCACATCATGAACCCCTTGGTCGCCGACCCGTCCACGCCCCGCATGCGAGCCGCCAAGCACGCTCGTTTGGCTTTGGGTAGGTTGCTGCTCCAGTCTTCCCCATCGACGCGACGACGCATCTTGCCCGACAACGGGAGATTCAACCACAGGAAACAACGGCAGCCTCCATCGCGACAGGCCAAGTACATGCGCTGAGGGTTCTTCTCCGACCCGCTCTTGCGCAACGCCAACCGTCGATCGCAAAAACAGGTCAACTCGCCCATCGTTGACGCAACTCCTCATGCAACTGTTGAGCCACCAGGGTCATCCATTCGTCCACGCGGTCTTGAGGACTGAACACGGGACACGTGTCCCTCGGGCAGTAGACATAGACAAACTCGTTCTTGCGTCCCTCGGACAAACTTTCGTCGGGATGCAACGGGCACATCCAAACCCCGGGTCGGTCCACCGGCGCATACGGGACGGGATCCGTTTGCGTGGCCTGATCCATCTCGTTCAAGAACCAAGCGGCCAATTCGCCTTCCTCCAATACTTCGGTCTTGTCTTCCAAAGCGTCCTCCGCTGGACGTTTCTTGCTTTTAGGACGACCGGTCGGCACGGGCGCCGGACGCGTGGGGTGTCTCGTACAAGCGGCCATGATGACACTAGGTCGCCAGGACCGCCCCGCGCCGTTTTATACTCCCTCCCCATCACGTGCAGAGATGACGTCACCCATGCCTTATAAGGGCCTGAAACGCCACGATTGGTCAGGTCGGGCTCCGCCCCCGCGTGCTCATACCTCCCAGGGCGCATGACGGCGCGTGTAATGTCCCGTGGCTCCTTTGGCACCCATGCGCTTGTAATCTTTCCTCTTGCCCAATTGATACCCAATCTTGGCCGATTTGGTGAGAAGGCCCAACAAACCACGCCCCGACATCGTGATTGGGGAACTGCGGCGGCGGCGCCTTCTTCTTCTTCGTCGCACTCGACCCATGATTGGTAGCTCGTTCCTCCCCTGCGCTATAAATACCCTCTCTTCCCTGGGTCCCGGTCACTCATGCAAAAAGGCCCCCTTGCACGACCGTCACGGCGACGGCGGAGAAAACGTCGTTCGCTCGGAACCATGCCCAAGCTTCAGGACTACACGGTCTATACCCCCGACAACCAGATCGCCGACTTGGCCGAACACCAAGGGATGCGCGTTCATCTCATCACCGGCCCGACCCAGCACGTGCTGCGCGACGCTCACACCGTCTTTCTCTTTGGGTCGGTCACGCCCCTACCCGACATGAGCGACACAGACCACGTGACCGAGCTAGCCTCGTCCTTGGGCCAAGACGTGTTCCTGTGTGACGTCACCAGCGGGCAATGGTATAAACGCGCCCCCAGCGACCAGAGCTTCACTCACCTGCACGGCTCGACCTTTCCAGTCCTTCATCCACGCAGTGCCGTCCTGGTCGTCCCCTCCTTACCGCTCCACCACCTGCAACTCTTGTCGCTCTTCCAACGCACTCAAGACACGCTATCCCCATGAATGCCGAGTATCATCGCCAGCTACGCCTCGACGACTATCGAACCTTCGACGAGTATCTCCGCGAACGCATTCGGCGAGGGTTGCAAGCTCATTACGATCACACCGAGATGCTCCTTCACCTGCAAGATCAATACCGAGAGGCTTACAAGGGCTACGTGCAAGAACTGGCGCAACGCGATCGACCCGTGCGATAATCAATAAAAGGTGTTTTTTAATCTGAGTGTTGATCATTGACTTTTGCAAATGTGGGCGGGACCCCAAAAGGGGTCCCTGTTAAATATTGAGGGTGAGAGGGTTCAGGTCTTGGGACGGCGAGGGCGGAGTCGTTTCAACCAGTCACGTTGAGCCCACACGTTGTCCACGCGCCGCATCTTTTTTCGAAAGGCCCGCTGGTCTTTCTGGTACTGGCGCTCCTCATCCTCCTTCTCGTAGCCACACTCGTGGGACTCTCCGCAATAGCGGCAGTGGATAAAGGGCCACTCGCACGCCTGGCCTGGACGGAGGTAGTCGTTGTGCCCAAACATTCTGGTGAACCACCGGTACAGCCTGGGATCCGCGTCCCTGGCAAACACCTTCCGGATGAGACGGCGGTAAAAATACCCCGACACGGGCTCCAACTGGTGGCCATGGCGAGGAACGTAAAACCCCTTCAGGTTGATGAGACGCTTGCGTTTAGGGCACCGGGGTAAATAGCGCATCTCTGAATGGACCCTGTGCCACCCACTAAAAGCACGATCCTCCGCCGTGGCCAATCGATATTCGAGGGCAATAATCAATAACACCTCGGGCGGTAACACCGGCAAATCGTCGGGTACAGGAACATCGTCGTCGGGTACATGTTGGTTAAGAACCATGGAAATACCAAAAGGTAACACTGGCAAAGAGTCCGCCATCTTTGTTCAAAGACCAACTGTAGACAACCTGAGTCGCGACCGGTCCCACGTCTTATACTCTGGGTCACGTGCCTTCCCATCACCCCCGTTCGACCCCTCGAAAAGAGGGGGGATGGGGGGGTATCCCCCCTCCTTTTAGACCCTTCCCAGAGGGGCTTGGCGGCCCCTCCTAGTATCCATATAAGTCCCCCTCCCATGGACCCTGCACCTCGACACGGATCATGCTGTTTGTCGCGCCAGTCACTGTGTTCTCGTTGGCCTTCTTCTGGGTCGCTATCCTGATCCACACCCAAGTCCCCGATCATGGCACCCAGGGTCTTCAACCGAGACTACCTAGAAGAATACTTGGACGTGTTGTGGGAGATGAGAGAAAATATCAGCATGGACCTGGACTGGGGCTACGAATGCCGCCTGAACCGCATGTGCGAACAAGTCAAGCGTCAGTTGATCGACCCCCACGTGGCGGACAAGAAGCGACGATCGTGCGAATTCGCCTACACCACCTGTGTCCAAAATCTAGAGACGAGCCGGCAAAACCTGGAAGGCCTCAGAGATACTGTACAGTACTTGTTCGAACAGTCACCCGAAGAACATCCCAGTACCCACGCCCACTACCAAGACATCCTCCACAGTATCGAGGACCAAGAAAAGGGACTACTCCACATCCAAGCC